AATCTCGGAAGTTTTTTCGAAGTCGAAAATTTTTAAAGGGCAGTAACAGTCAAATTTATGTAAATTTTGAAATTGCAGGTCTCGCCGGAAAGACGCCAACTGACCAGGCCTGGGTGGATGCCTGCGTCGACCAATTTAAGGATCACTACACCGAAATCAACAAATGGTACTACACGGCTCTCGGATTCGCCAATCACGGCGATAAGGTGCTTTTCTGACACTGTAGAAAATCTTTTTCATTTTTTGCGTTTTAGGAAAGCCTCTACAAATCGGTGTACGAGCCGGCTCGCGACAAGTTCTACGATTTCTTGCAGAAACGCCTCAAGAAGAACGGCAGCGGATTTTTGGTGAGGAAATAATTCCGAAATTTATGTATTTCTGATTTATTGAAATTTGCTGAATCTTTAGATTCTATCTGTCCTAAAATACAAAATATAAATTTTGTAGTTTTGCATAAACGTAAATTTAATTTGGCATATTTATTTTTCATTTTGTAAAACTAATTTCCCCGTTGAACTATGGTAATTCAAACATTTTTTTTAAGCACTGCTAAATAAATGTTAGTATAAGCTTTAAAATGGTGACGAAGCTTTTTATTTGGAATTTAAATTTATCGAAAATTGCTCGAATTTAAGTTAAATTTTTAAATGTTGTGAATTTACCAACTATTTATACTTGAAAACGCAACTTTCAAATTATTTACACCTTAATTTAGGTTGGAAACTCGGCGACGTGGGCTGATCTTCTGATTGCCGACCATATGCACACCATTCTACAGCTGAAACCAGATACTCTACAGCGATTCCCGGAGGTAGGGAACCAAACAAACGCCTGTCTTTGGCTTTTTTCTGGCTTTTTGAAACTTATAATCGTATTAATCTTCATTAAAGGCTATATTTTTCCATTCTCAGATGCTGGCCTTCAAGAAACGCGTCGAAGAGCTACCCCAAATCAAGAAATGGATCGCCACTCGCCCAAAGACTCCTTTCTAAACGCTCTACAAAATTTTCTTAAATCACTTTTTACTTCTTTGTTTTAATTGTTTCACTCGAAAGGCCCTTAAATTCAAATATTTTTTGCAAAAGCTGAATAAACCCAATTTTTCCGCATTGTCCAATTTACATCCGGGATGACAAGCTGTCATACCTCGCTGAGGATGTTATGCAACAATGGATCAGGGGGTTGACACAATATTTGGATAGTACTGCATAGCGCGAGGGCAAGGATTAGCACCCCACAGCATCCACAAAACAGCTGCTACTCACTCTACTATATCCGCTTATTGACAATGCCCCGGGCAACAGTGTTATAAAAGCTAGAAAATGCAGTTAAAACCCTAAAAAATAGTATTTTTAGCCTATCTACGAAACCGGGCTTGGAAAGTTCAAATTGTTCCTCATCAAACATTTCAACATCCTTCAAAAATTATGTTTCCAGCCCTGCTGGCCGTCAGTTCAAAGGAGTAACCGGAAATTAAACCATTTACGAGTGTCTTCTGTGGCTGGTGATGCTAGAGGGCGTCTTTATGGTATGTCGCGGAAGGCAAGAGGCCAATACCCGGAGGCCATTTTGTCGTCTCATGCATATAAATAACACCGCCAGAAACGCGGCCGACCCCCAGAAAGACCATCCATTTGTTGCAGCAACCCGCTTTTTCGCAAAATGCCGATAGCGCTTGGTAGCCTTTGGACCTCGCATTTTTTAAGCTACAAAAATCTGAAAACCCGCATTTTTGCCGGTTATTTGTGCAAATTTTGAACAACGTAAGTTAAATACGTTCAATAAAAATTCTAACAGTTCAATTTTCGTCATTGTTATCCTTAAGGTTTTAAATCTCGAATTTCTGAGAGCACCTTCGGGAGCGTTTTATGTTGCAGCAAATTTTCTGAAAATTCGGTGTCCGTAGGAATGTAGCGTACTTGTGATCAATTTTTCAATTTTTGAGAGGTTAGAGGACCTTCTCTTTCAAAATTGTCACTTTTCGAGAAAAAACTCCGATTTTCCCTGCCTGCCAAATCTTTTCCCGGCTCAAGATTTCAAGACAATTCCTAAAATTCTGCGCCGCATCTTCCGGGTCAAGACATTTGAATGAAACTTATCGGGATGGGGAGACACATGTTTTCTCTCTTCAGATCGAGTCAGTGGAGTAGTGTAGCGGACAAGGCCATATAATTCTTCTTTCTAAAGGAAAGGGAGGCTGGGACATAGATTATATCTCCCCTCCCCAACCTGCTACCCCCTAAAATGTGTCAAATTGACACCCGGGGGCGGCGTCTTTCCACACTCGCGTTTGAACTTCACACCGGCGCGCACGTTTTTGAGATAAAATCTGTTTATTTTTGAGGGATATTGTTATTTCTATTGATTTTTCTACGCTATCAAACGCCTTTTCCTGCAAAGAATCCATTTTCCATTTTTTAGGATTTCGAAAAACGTATTTCGATCAAAGTCTCTATACTACAGTATCCGTTCTCCGCAAAAAAAAAACTTTTAAAATCGCAAAAATAACGTTTTGTAGGCAAAGTATTTTTTTTGCTAGAACACAGACATGTTGGCCGTTTTGGGTGTAATTTGTTTATTGTGATACAGTACGGGGTGTCCCAAAACCCCCCTCTAGCGGTCCGTGGGAAGCTCAGATCAGGATGATTTTTATACCATTCGAACGCCCGCGAAAAGGCGAGAAAACAAGCGGGCTTCATTTTCTAAGATTTATTCTGATTCGTCCGATATTCAGCGTTTTTCTAAAAAACAGGTATCTTTTCAATAGGAATTTCGCAATTAGCATGCAGATCTCGCGTAAATCTGCCGTTTTCATGGATTTTGGAGGTAAAAAATACATAATAAGGAAAAGGAATTCTCCATGTTTTCTCGCCTTCTCGAGAGCTTTCGATAGATACCTAAACGGCCAGAATCGGACACGTCTGGGCGCCGCTAGAGGGGGGGTTTTGGGACACCCTGTATGCATTTTTAGCAATTTTTTGCCGGCTAAATTTAACCAACATCTGAATTTGTACGTATTTTTGATTTTACCAAATTCCAGAATTTTCAAAAAAAGGATAAATTACATATTCTTAAAAGAATGTAATTTTGCCGAATTACAGTAGCCTGGTAAAGCCAAAAAGTCACCGCCGCAAATAGCAGCTCGTCCAAAATGAGGTGCCACTTCCCGGTCTCCTTTTGTGCCAAAGCACAAAGAATGACCCCTGACACAGCCGCTCCCTAATGATCTCTGCCAGTTTGCCCCCCTTCTTTTGCCCCCCAATCAGAGGCCCCAGTTGGACATCCCATTCCCCTCTACACAATCACATCCAAATCGACCCCAGATTGAGCAAATCCGGCGGCAAAAGGCGTTTGACACCATCCCAAGTCCGATCTGCCAGTCGGTTTAGCTTTTTAAGAGCTATCTGCATTTTTTTTTGCTCGGATTATAAGTTTTCGGGAAAATTACTTTAATTGCCTGCCAGTTTATTGTTTCCAAACATTAATTTGAGCGAAGTCAGCGATTTTCTCCAAACCCGTTGGCAAAGGGCCTTTGCCACCATCCAGACTCCGATCTGCCACCCAGTAGCTTCCGGATACGTTTTTCGAGTTCTGTAGGTCGTAGCACTCGCATTTTTGGCAGCAGCCCTTCAACTACTTGCCAGCTTAGCTTTTAGAACTATTTTTGCTCTAATGGATCCGCGAGGTATCAAAGAGCCCTGAGCACAAACTCGACTGGGCCACAGCCGGGCCCTTGATAGGGAGCCATGTCCTGAGGATATGCGATGATGGCGAATGATGAAAAGAGAAAAAGGAAGTGTGAATATTCGTTGTTTGTTCTAGTCTTCCCCTAGGAGATCTTATCATCACCCTTCTCATACCCTTTCTTCCCGTTCCTCACAGCCCGAGATCATCACCATTATATCCCCCCTTTTCGGCGGTTGGGATTTTATAGAGCCGCTTTTCCGGCTGGACTCTCGGCAATTTCAGAACAGGCAAAATTGAAATCAACGGGAATGAATTTACTATGCTGAAAAATCACCGCCTCTGCAAATTCTCTGATATTTTGGTATTTCTACCGCCTAACTGACCTCCGAATTGAACAAAATTTTTAGAAACAAGAGTACAATTTTCGAGAATTTAAAAAATCGCATTGAACGAAATTTTGAGATACGCGACGGGTTAATCTTTGCCCTTGAAACAAAGTGCTAAATGTATGTAGCCAAAAAAACCTGACTTTCTCCAAAAAATTCTCAATTGAGCTCGGATTCCCGAACATGAATTTGGCCGGAAATACGTGGATTTCCAAGGTTTTCGTCGTGAAAATTCAACAAAAGAACTTTTCTGAGTTTGGTAGCCCTATTTTCTAAACCAAACTTCCAAACCACTTTTCGACCACTTGTTTTCGTATCTTATCACATTCATTAATGCTCGAGCCCCATGTCAAAGGCTTTCCTCCCGAATTTTGTCGGATATCCTGGCGACCACCTGCCCCCGAGACGCCCCGAGGCTACAGTTTCCTTATCACTCGAATATCTGCCGGAATCCATGGTGGTTCTGAACTTTATTAAAGTCATTAATTCGACATCTACCCTCCCCTACCATCCCCCAGATATTCCTATTTTCTACCACCACCGGCCTAAATGGCTACAAATCATAATTATTATTCCCTAACCATATTTTCTGCCTACCGTATTCCTAAATTCTGGTACTGTCTTTCAACTATAATTTTGTAGATGGAGTTATTTGAAATTTTAAACTAGCCCATTGTTTTCGGGTAAAATTTTATCAAAATTACTTTATGCTGTGTAACTTTAAAATTTATTTTTATATTTTTAAAGATAATTGAGATAAGTTTCTTACAAAATTTTTTAAGTTTGACGGTGTGCTGTGTCGTTATCAGACTATAACTAGATATTTCTAGAACAGGTTCTATACAATCTATTTAAATTTTATTTGCTAATATGTGCAAATATTTCGGTTTTGAAATAAACCTACCTAATTCATTTTCGTCATTTAGAATGGTAATGACGGTCGACAAAAGACCCTCCACTTCTCACGAATCGAAGGCCAATTTCTGGGGATCGTTGAGGAGTCGATCCAGTTTTGGCACGAAATTGCCGTTTTTGCATAGCAGTCAGTTTTTGAACAAAATTTATTGAATTTTTGGTATTATTTAATATATTTAAAATTTTAGAACGGACCAGCCTCGCGTCGGAAAATGAGAACGAGCGGAAACAGATGATTTTCGGGACGATTCGAGGGATGAAACGATACAAGAGACATTCTGAACTGGCTGGTAAGGATTTTGGGCAAGCTAGCAGAGCTTCTTTGACCTTTTGATCTCTGAAAGCTTGAAAATCGTTAAACTGACATGCAGACAGCTCAAAGATACTTCAAAACTTCAGCAGAAAAGCAGGCTAGCAGAGACCATTGGATTTTGTCTTCCTAATCCCTTTAAACTCCATTCTGACTGACAGCGAGGCCAAAAGGCAAGCTAGTATAGATTCACTGTGCCTAAAACTACAAAAACACTGGAATTGACATGCAAATAATCCAAAAACTGCTTAAAAACGACAGAAAGATAGCAGATAGCAGAGTTCCTTGCGAAATTGTATATTTTTTTATGATTTTCTACCTCAAAAAGGCTAAAAAAAAATTTATCCGGTGATCTTAACAATTTTAAATCTATTTCTTTTAGACTCCTACTTTGGCGGTGACCAACAAGTCCTGATTTCCGCTCACCCGATCCATTCTTCCGTCAATCTGATGGCTGTCCGACCGCAAATCGCCAAAAGAGGCCAATTGAGCAGTGATCTTTTCAATGGGCCACTCGAGGATACGGTATATGGCGCTTATCAGGTTGGGAATTTGATTTAAGGTTTGAAAATGGATGCAAAAAAATGAAAATGGTGTCACTACTCCCCTTAAAATCTGGAAAATTCTGATTTCGAAATGGCGTGGATTTTTTTGCGTTCCGAACGCGGCAATGAACGGAGCAAACAATTTGGAAGCGCCTAAAATAGCTTCACGCTTGGACGAGACAGTGAGAGAGAGATGGTGAGAGAGAGAGAGAGAGAGAGAGAGAGAGAGAGAGAGAGAGAGAGAGAAGAGAGTGGCGGGCAGAAAGACTGACAGAAGAATGGCTTGCCTACTAGTCATTTTTCACGGTCTAATTTCGTATCTGTAGCTGTCTCTCTCTCCCCCTCTCTCTCTCTCTCTCGCTCTCTCTCGTCTCTTATTTGAACAGTGGCTGTCAGTCAGTAAATGGCATCAGAATGCCTATTCATTCCGCGGCGCTACCCCTCCACGCGCAACCACACACTGGCTGGGGGGAGGCTTTCTTTACTTTGCTTTCCCTTCTTTGCTCTACCCAAATTAGCTTTTACAAAGTCCCGTGGTTCGCTATTTCGGACACTTAGTTGTTTTACATCCAATTTTCGACTACTTCTAGCTGATTTTAGCTGATTTTCGGTTTTTAAAATTTTTTCAAGTTTCTAACTTACTTCGACTTCAAGTTCGACAGTTCGTTGATTTTTCTGCCTGTCCGTCATTTTGCGTGGCTGTCTGTCGAACTGTCTGTCAGTTTGTCGCTCTGTCAACCAACCAACCTATTTATCTTTCTGTTAATTCCTGAAAATTCGGTTTTCTGCACCCTAGCTTCTTACGCACTAAATGACCTACGAGCATTTTAACCTGATTTTAAGCATTTAATAAATCTTTCTGTCTGTCAGTTTGTCTATCTGTCCGAAAACAAACTTATTTGTCGGTTTCTTTGTCCTCAAAAAAAACTATTTTTCTGAAATACCGACGCAACTTTCCCAATGACGTACGTCACCAAATCTTCACCAAATTGTATATTTTATACTGCTCAGTTTTAAAAACACGATCATATATCACGTCTTCTTGATCTCCGTCAGAAAAACCTCTTTCCCTTTTGCCTCTGCCGAATGTGAATGGTATGTAAATAGGTGTATCTCGTTGTCTCCCGTTCTCACGCCCCCTCCTTTTTATTGCATTTTGCCAGGGTCGCCCGGCTTTCGGCTTCCCTTTTTCTTTCCTGGAAAAGTTATGGCCCGGCTTCTCACGTTAAATATTGACACCTTGCATTTTTGACAAAATTTGACTGTTGTTGGAATTTCGAGAAAAAATCAATTTTTGTATTTTCAAAATTTTTTTTAATGGTTATTTTTAGAATTTTTCATAATCTATTAAGATTCAAAAATTCTATCTTTAACTGGTGATTATTAAAAATTGTTTTTTTTTTTCAGCTAGTCCCCAACTTTTGCGAAAATACCCAGCACTAGACGGTCAAATTAGCCTCGGAGACCGTATTTTGTGTATTTTGTATGTTTGCGTACTCGTAAGGGATCGATGATCGAGTGTCTTTACAGACAGAAAGAGCAAGAAATAGCAGCTGAATGGTCAAGAACGTTTCGTTTTCCAGCTTTTGCAGAGGCCTTTTCGACTCCCCCATAGGCAAACAAGTCGGAAACAAGCTTCAGAATTGATACTTTTCAAGCCAAATACATACTTTCTACTTTAACCTGGTGATTGGTCCTTTAAAGGAGCCGTGAAGCGCCAAAATCTCCTTCTGTGACTGCCTAGGCCCTTTAATACTGAATGCTTTTTTTCCGGAAGTTCGTCCCCCGTCGGCCCGTTTTTGATTCAAATGCCCGGATGGTCACTGAATACGTTCAGAGGAGCGTTACGTAGTCAGAATCGGGTAGCCTGGCGGACAGTTTAACCAGATATAACACCAAACTGACAACCTTTGCTTCAAAAAATTTTTATGAATTAACCTTTATTTAAATCGACACACATATGATGAGTAAAAATTCATGCTTTTTCTAATTTTTAGCAGACCTCTTTTTAATTTATTTTGCATCGCAATTATTCATTGGCGTACAGTTTAGCGTAACGTAAAAAGACTATTAAGTTAAGTTCATTTTTAATTTTTTTTGAATGGATTTACGGGGTACCCGAATTTTTGGCCTTTTCGGCATTTCAATTTTTCATTTTTTTTTCTAAAATATGGTTTAGGTTCCTTAGCCTTTCCTACCCCTTTAGAGTGAGCAACAGTTTACTTAAACCCACCTTTTCCTCGTTTCCGGTCCCTTTTTCTCTGCGGGGAACAAGGGCACTTGACTGTATGGCCACCAGAATGTTCGAAGGCGAATGAATACTTTTCTTTTCTTTCCATTTTCCCATACCCATTCTCTCTCCCTCTCTCTCTCTCTCTTCCAATTTGTTTGCCCCTCTCATCGCCCCATTTCACACACCACACACTGTCCTCTGGATTTCTACCAGCCTGGCCACGCGCTACTTTTTTGAATTTTGCGGGCTCGTGACTCGATTTCTAGCTGTCCCTGTTCCTTTATAGTTGAATGTTGCAGGAATCGGGCAAAATGCGAGATAAAAAAATTAAAATTAAAAATTTTCGACATTTAAGGTTTTTAGAGATTTCTGAGCCCAAGCACACTCAATTTTTCCGAATTTACGAAGTTCTGCGCCGATTTCTAGCTGTCGATATCCCTTGAAAATTGAATTGTTGTGAGAATTTGGCAAACTGCCATGCATGCAGAGCATTTGAACACGTTTTAGACAAATTTCCTGATTTTCAAGGATTTCTAAGCAACGACGCTCTACTTTTTGAATTTCGGAGCTCTGGGCCGATTTCTAGCTGTCACTGTCCCTTGAAAATTGCATTTTTGCTAAAATTTGGCAAACTACCATGCAACTGACGTTTTCAAAAGATTTTTAGACAAAGCCAACGAATTTTGTGGAATTGAGTTCGGTGAGCTTTTCCTTGCAGGCACCATCCCTTTAAAATCAATTTTTTTTTTTCTGGCATTTACAAACTGCCATCCAGTAAACAATTCGCAATAATCTCCAAGCCATTTCGACCATCGGAACTTCCAGAATATTTCATTCCACACCCCCGGCCGCAATTACGGTATTAGTGGCAACGCGTATCGTTCCGTACCCATCCCTCCCTTCCTCTCTTTTCTCTCATACCCTTGAACACAGCCTCTAAAAAACAGGCCCTCCCCCTTCTCAATTCGAATCCATCCATTTCGACCATCGATCCCTCTTCCTCCTCAAAGATTCGACCTCCAAAAAAGCCGCCGCCTCACTTTCATGCTCTTTTCCTGTTTCTCAGCCGCAGCTTGGCGGGCTTAGCTTTGCTTTGGGCTTGGCTTATAAGCTGGCAGCCAGCTTGCTTATAGCTAAATTTTTGGGCATTTTCTATTTGCTATTTCGACGCATTAATTGATACTTTTAAATCTCGAGCTCGAGGCCACCCACTTTCATGCTCTTTTCCTGTTTCTGCGCAGCAGCTTGGCGGGCTTGGCTTTCTTTTAGGCTTAGCTTTGAAGCTGACCGCCCGATTGCTTATATTTAATTTTATGGAATTTTCTATTTTTATATCGACGCATTAATAGGTATTTCTGGACCTCGAGCTCGAACTTAAGCTTGAGCAAGCCTTTCAAGCTTGAGCTTCGGCGACTAGACTTCATTTTTTCAGTATCACTAAACTGCCATCCAAACTACAACCTCGATAGTTTAAATCAATAATTTTAAATTTATTCGTCAATTTAATTTGCTAAATCCACTCGTGAAAATCTTATTTTTCAAAAATTTGCATTTTTCACTTTTTCCGTGTTTTCATCGTTCTACGCTATTCCGATGCGCTCCAGATGTCGACCAGATCCCCACCAACCGTATCCACAATATCTGCCGTACCCCCTGGCGGCTACCGTAACCCTCCAATACAGCGGGGATGGGCACAGCTCAGGGATTCAAGAAGAACAGCCGCCCAGCGATTGAACAATCCGAATTCAAAAATGACAAATGCTGAGGCGGAACCCCCGAAAAAGACTGTAAAAGTACGCAAAGATACGGTTGTAATGAGGGCTTTTAAAGGGAGCTTGACACCTCAAAATTTGGCGGAATTAACCAGCTTATTGTATCAAATCCCAAAAATAATCCAAAAAAACTTTTAGATTTGAAAATTGCGGTATTGTCGTAATTCTATTGTTTTCAGAGCACTGCGACTACGGTAAAACCTGTAAACGCGGTGCGACCCGTGATTCACAAAGTCGGTAATGCGATGCGGGCCGCCGATCAGTCACCCTATTCCAAAGTGAGTTTTTCAGCAAAAGATCGCTTTAAAATTACGAATATTTTATTTATTAAAGTTTTAGTTTAAATAATTAAAATTCTAAACTTTTTGTGGCATTTAATTTGTTGGTTAAATTAAATTTTTACATTGAAAAGAGTTGTTGGTTTAATTTTGGAAATCTGTTAAATTTAGTTAAAGTTTGATACAATTAATTTTAATAAAATTTAAGTTTAGAATACAAAATTTAATTTTTTGAAATTGAGAACTCTATCTGTATTCAAATCTGCCAGTTCTAGCGTTAATAAGAAAATTAAATACTGGGATTTTTACTCTTTCTAAAATGACTAAAAATCTGATTTTTGAGTCGCTATTTTTTTGCTTTGCAAAATGGTTCTCTTGCCTCCCGGCCGAGGGAATATTTATGGTTTCAGTACGAATCAATTTTATTTCCTCAAAATCAATTGTTGATGTGTTTCTTGTTGCAGGCTTCGCGAAGCCTCTCCCACGATCCATCATTCCACGCACGCAGACGGCCCTTTTGCCAGGTAACATCCGCTTTTATACTTCTTATTTTTGCGTCTTAATGCGGATTGAATTTTTTAGGTCTTTTTGAGTTATTTCCTCACATTTTTTGAAATTTTCGATATGGCTAAATTTTTTTACCTGAATTTTTTTGATGTAAGGACATTTAAAAAATCTGTTTTTAAGCTCATTTTTTATGTGCTGGCCTAAATTAAGATGGCTACGGTTT